GTATCTCTCTCTGTATGTATGTACGTATGCAAGCATGCGTGCATGCATAACTCTATGTATGTACGTATGCATGCCTGCGTGCATGCACAATTGTATGTATGCATGTATGTATGTATGTATGCATGCATGTATGTATGTCTGTCTGTCTGTCTGTATGTATGTAGGTATGTATGTATGCTTGTATGTATATGTATGGATGAATGCATGCATGCATGCATGTGTATATGTATGTACGTATGTATGTATGTATACGTATGTCTGTCTGTCTGTCTGTCTGTCTGTCTGTCTGTCTGTCTGTCTGTCTGTCTGTCTACCTGCCTGTCTGTCTGTCTGTATGCATGTATGTATGCATGTATGTATGTATGTATGCGTGCGGCCCGGCCCCCCTAATACTAGTGCGGGCGGCTGCGCGGGTAGCGTCGTGGGTGCTTGCTAGGGGGCGGGCAATGAGGAGGAGTGGGGGAGGGCATCTTGGGCGCTTTGGGGCGACCTTGTTGCGCATCGGAGCCCTCATCGGCCATCTTGGGCGCGTCCTGGAGCCTTCTTGCTCCGTCTCGGACCCGTCGTTGACCCGAAAGAGTCATGCGGCGAATCGCGACGGGCATCGACGGGCAGCGGGAAGCCCCAGAGAATTTGGAGGTCTCCTTGGGGCCTCTTGGGGGCCTCTTGGGGGCCTCTTGGGGGCCTCTGGGCCCTCTTGGGGCCTCCTGGGGCCCTCTCGGGGCAGAGAGGCCGCGTGTTCGGTTCGTGGACTCCCTCTTGGGCTTCTCCTGGGACCGTCGTAAGGGCCTTTATGGGCCAACTTATGGGCCGTCTGGAGCGCCTCTTGGACCGTCTTGGGGCCCTGTTCGGCCGCCTTGGGGCTGTCTCGAGGGCCTCTTGGGCCGTCATGGGAGCTTCTAGGGCCGTCGTGGGGCGATCTCAGGAATCGCTTGGTCTGTCTCGGAGCGTCGGAAAGCAGAACAGGCGAGAAGGCCAACAACCTTCGAAAACGTTAGGACACTCGTTGATGTTTGCTTCGTGGGGCCCTGTTGCGCTTCTTGGAGGCCTCTTGGGCCGTCTTGGGGCCATCGTGGGGCATCGTGGGGCCATCTTGGACCGTCTTGGGTTCCTGAGGCTCTCTTCGGAGTCTCTTCGGGCAATCTTGGAGGCCTCTCGGGCCGTTCTGGCCGCGCGGTGGCGAGAATCCTGGAGTGGCCCGGAGCAGCCAGGATTTGAGGTTCCCCCCCCCCCCCCGTTGGTTGTTTGGTGGCGCGTCGGGCCCCCCCAGCAGACAGTGAACATGAGGCAGGAAAGAGGACTGGAGAGACAGAAGGCCAAGCAACACATGGCAACAGCATACACCCTCGCAGCCTTGCGCCCCCGGAGGGGGCCAGCGGATACATACATACATACATACATACATACATACATACATACATACATACATACATACATACATACATACATACATACATACATACATACATACATACATACATACATACATACATACATACATACATACATACATACATATATAAACTCATACACAAATAGTTGTATATGTGCATGCGCACGCACCCTCCTCCTCTTCCTGCCCTCTGCGAGTCGCAGCTTCACTTCGATCATCGTGTGGCTCCGGCTTTCTCTCTTCTGGGAGGGGGTCCGCACGTGCGTGTGTCGTGCACGCGCGTGCGTGCCGCTGCCGGCGCACGCGGCCTCGGGGCCCTGTCGCGCGCGCTGCCCCACAGCCATACACCTTAGGCGATGCTTAAGAAAACTTAAGTTTTCGGCCAGAATCTCGATTATTCTTAACGTTTCAATGCAAATCTTAAGATTTGAATGGAAATGTTGGGTTTTGTATTCAAGTTCTGAGAGTATGAATTTCTTAACCCATGATTTCTAAAGCATTTCGCAGGGTGTATCTCTTCGGTGGGTCTGCTCTGAAGTGAGGCCCAGCCTCAAGTCGGGCCTGTCCCTCTACAGGGGGATATTCACAAATAGTCCAAAAATAGTCAGGGGACATGTTTTTTGTTTTGTTCGACTATTTGGGAGCATTTGTGTGTGTTTTTTTTTTTTTTTTTTTTTTTTTTTTTTTTTTTTTTTTTTTTTTTTTTTTTTTTTTTTTTTTTTTTTTTTTTTTTTTTTTTTTTTTAATTATTTTTTATAATAATTATTAAAAAAAAAAAAAAAAAAAAAAAAAATCGTCGAAGATCGCCCTGTAGGGGGACAGGCCCAACTTGAGCCTAGCCGCTTGCGCTCGTGATGGCTCGTTGCCCGTGCCGCGTTTCTGGTCTGCCGTACCCTGGTCGGACTGCGTCGCTGGAGAGCGGTCCCATGTCGGGCTGCTCGCTCTCACTCGTGCGGCGTGCCGACTCGTTGGCCAGTGCTGGCTGCATGCCATACTCGGCGGCGGGCCCAGGGGGGAAATGAGAAGGAGCAGGCCTTCTCAGAAGGCCGCGGGACTTCTTAGAAGTCTGGGGGACTTCTGAGAGGTCTCCTTGGCCTATTTCGAATGCAGACAGAACTTCTCAGAAGCCCTCTCAGAAGTCCAGAAACTTCTCAGAAGCCTCGGAAGTCCCGCCCCTTCTCATTTCCCCCCCGCGCCCGCCGCCGACATACAGGTGCTTTGGCATACCAGAGTGTTCATGCGATGCTGATTGCAGCTGTGAGCGATGCTCCCTGGCTGCATGCGTCTGCCCACCTTGGACGTTTGCCCGCCAGCCCATCACGAAGCGATCCCCAGGCGCGTTGTCTTGACCAGGACAGCGTGCAGAAGCAAGGATCGGAGCAGAGAGAGGAGATCGGCGCAGCCGTCAAGAACCGACGCTCGGGATCGGCATGAGCAGACCTGGGAGTCATTCAGACATGCCTGCGTGAATGTTTGATGTGGGAGCCTCCTGGAAGCTCCCCTGGAACACATCTTGGGGCCCTCTCGTGACCGATTCGGAGGCCTCTCTGGGCCCCTCAAGGGAGTCTCTTGCGGCTCTCCTGGGGCCCATTTGGGAAGTTGGGGGCAGCCCTCCCGGGACCATCCCTCGAGTAGTGGATCGACTACAGAATCTGTTTATCCCAGTCTTGATTTTCCGCCGAATCTATACACTGTTATATATACACATGTATGTATGTATGTATGTATGTATGTATGTATGTATGTATGTATGTATGTATGTATGTATGTATGTATGTATGTATGTATGTATGTATGTATGTATGTATGTTTATGTATCTATATATACATAGTATATCATTGCAAATTCGACGGAAATGCAATGTTGGGGTCAATTAATCGTTTCGGTAGTCGATCCCCTATTCGAATCACGCCGATCAAGATAGGTGCGTCACTCAGTGAGCCGGCCCCAGTTGGAGCCCGACACATCGCCTCTTGGGTCCCTCTTGGGACACTCTTGGGCGATCAATGTGCCGTCTTGGAGCTCTTGTGGGCCTCTCTTGGTGCTCTGAACCACCTTGAGGCCTCAGCTTCCCCTCCTCCTCCTCCTCCTCACCCTCCTCCCTCTCCTCCTCCCCCTCCTCTTCCTCCCCGTCATCCTCTTCCCCCTCCTCCTCCCCCTCCTCCTCCTCCTCATCGTCGTCGTCCTCCTCCTCCTCCTCCTCCTCCTCCTCCACCTCCTCCTCCTCCTCCTCCTCCTCCCCCTCCTCCCCCTCCTCCCTCTCCTCCCCCTCCCCATCCTCCTCCCTCAGCCCCTCGGAAGCGAAAAGGCGAGAATGTCAAATTCATCTGAACACGGTGCGTTCTTGCATGCTGTTGGCCTGTCTGGGGTCTCTTTGGGGGGCTCAGGTACCCACCAGTCTCTGGGCCGTCTTGGGGCCTACCAGAGGAATGCTGGAGACCATCTGGAGCCAACTTGGACCATTGTGTGCCATTTTGGAAGCCTGCTGAAGGCGTCTGCAGCCTTCTTGGAGCCATCTTGGCCCGAGCGCTTCCCAAGGATGCCTCCGAGATGCCAATCAATGAGCTTTACTTTGAGCGAAAATGGCGGCACAAATTACAGACCCCTCGCTGGAGCCCCACCAGATACAATGTTGGGCCCCTCTTTGGGGGCTCTTGGGCCACTCTGGGGCGGTCTTGGGGGTCGTCTTGGAGCCTTGATGGGCCCCTCTCGGGGCTTCCTTGAGCCGTCTTGGCGCCATCGTGGAGCCTCGGAGACCCATTGGGAGCAAGAAGGCGAGACGGCACACATGACTGAAACATGCAAGATGTTTGAGGGATTCTGCTCTCTCGGAGGCGCCCTTGAGAGGCTCCGTGGCCACTCGGAGCCGTCTTGGAGAGCCTCGGGGCCTCGGGGGGCTTCCCCGCCCAGACCCGGGGAGGGACTGAGGGGGAGGGGTCCAGTTTCCAACGGGAGCATCGCAAGATCTCTCGCTCACTCCCGCGCGCTCTCCCACCACATATAGTAGCACCCAAGACTCCGCACATGCGGAGGTCACCATCGGATGGACAGCCATCCGAGAACAATGCAGACGCCATGTCCTTGCGAGGTGCAGCACGCGTGCTGGGTTGCCAGATGCGCCGGGTGCGGCACACGTGCTGGGTTGCCAGATGCTCCGAGTGCGCCATGTGTGCCACGTGTTCTGGCCGCTCCAGGTGCGTCACATGTGCAACGCACGTGATATATCATTCCCCTAAGGTGAAGACGGGGGTTTGAACTAACTCGCTAAGTTACCCACGCCCAGGGGGCTGGTGGGATGCACAGCGTGGTAGGACAATCTCAGGTACCGGCTGGATGCTCGTAACAGCCCGCGGACAAGCAGTGTACCGTGGGTTGGTGGCGTACCAGCTCGTGGTGTTCCCCCAGTGGTGCACCACGGCACACGGACTTCAATTGTGGCCTGCGCAGACAAGTTTCAATTATGCGAGCGCCTCGAGGTACACCCCGTGGCCAACCGCAGTGTTGCCACCAAGCCGTTCTGGTCTGTCGTTTTCTTCTCATCCGCCCCCTCCCCACCATCATCCTCCCTTCTCCTCCTCCCTGCTCTTTCTAGTACCCCTTCCTTCACCCTCCTTATCAATATTCTTCTTCTTCGACGTCTGCGACCTCCCAGATGTCCCTGACCCGAGATGACGACGAGGGCTCTCCTGGAGGTTGGCAACGTCCTTGCCATCCTGACTTTCGTTGCCCACGCGTGGGTGCAGGACGAGACCTGCCCGCTGCGCACGTGGCATCAGCACCTGTTCAGGCCACCCTGCCCGCCGGCAAGGAAGACGACGAGGAGTAGGAGGAGGAGGAGGAGGAGGAGGAGGAGGAGGAGGAGGAGGAGGAGGAGGAGGAGGAGGAGAAGGAGCAGGAGGAGGAGGAGGAGGACAGCAGACTTCCCAGGGATGCCCAAGGCGTCTCCCAGGTCGCCATCCAGTCGGTCTTGCCACAGGTACGGGCCCAGGTCTGGGGGCATTCTTGTTCACCGTCATCGTGATCATGAACTCGTGGCGCCTCAGGTACGTGCCAGGGGGAGGAGGAGGAGGAGGAGGAGGAGGAGGAGGAGGAGGAGGAGGAGGATGATGATGAGGAGGAGGAGGAGGACAAGAGCGAACCCAAGATGCATCAGCGATACTGCAACACGCCCTCCTGTCCCAAGCCACCCCCTCTCAAGTCACTCGAGAAACCAGCACTACACGGGTCTGCCGTTCAGGCTAGACCTCCTGTCTCGAGAAAGGCACCCTGCTTCTGTGTAGCGCGTGAGCCTGCATGCGACACTGTATGATCAGGCAGTTCAACGGTGTGGCCACCGATATCGTCGTTTTCGTTTTAAACAATGTATTTCCTTATTTTCAAGAAATAAAGGCCAGCCCCAACAGTGAAGCTGCTGCACAAGTTTATACTTTTGGACATTGGCATCGGGCCCCGTTTGCAAAGGACCCTCTCCCCTGTGCAATTGCTACGTGTGCCAAAGTTTCGAGTCTGAGGTTTGAGGAAGTCTCAAACGAGAGTCGCATTTTGAACAAGGAGCCTTCCTCCGGGCTTGCAACTGTCGCAAGTTTTTGGGACGATTGTGCGCGGCGCGGTGGCTAGAACCTGCTTTTCAGAACCGCCCGCCCTTCATCCTCGTAAACGCTGAAAGATTTGAAACCGAATATGCGCGGTGCTGATGCGAGAAACCATGTTGAAAGCCAGCCGCCCTCCATTCCTGGTAATCGTAACAAGGTTTTGAATACACATGTGCGCGGTGCTAATGCGAGATCTTCATCAGGGCAACGGGCGGAACACTGTCTTGGTAATCGTCGCGTTTGTCTTGAAGCTTCAGGTAAGAAGTTTCGAACAAAAACCCAGCCAACTTTATCGACGCACCTGGGGCCGTGGAGGGCAACGATAGGGACGCGTTATCTACAAGGAGCGGGGTGGGGAGGGGGGTGAGAAGAGTAGCGAGAGGAGGAGAAGGATGAGGCGGAGGAGGATGAGGAAGGAGGATGATGAGACGGATCACCATCATGTATGTGGAAGAGGAGGAGCAATGCGCAATTCGGATGGAGGAAGGTGAGGAAAGAACAACCATTGGGGGTCGGAGGAAGAAGAAACGGAATGTGGGAGAGGGAACAGTAGAAGGTGGAGAAGGAGGGAGGAGGGAGGAGGGAAGAGGGATGAGGGATGAGGGAGGAGGGGATGATGAGGGGACGAACAGGAACGAGACAGGAGGTGGATATCTCGCTGCTGCTCACGTGTCGCCACGCCTCTCCGCACACCTCGTGTCGTCGCCGCCATGGCGTCGCCGGTCCTCCTCCACTTCCTGCTCCACCCCTTGGCCTTAGACGTACAGTCAAGACGCCGAAGCAAGAAGCAGTTTTGGACTCGGAAGGGGCTCGATGTTCCTAATAGGTTCCTCCAGTGCTGTTCCTCTTGCCCTCCTGGGGCACGAAGGCGCTTACGGGGCCGAAAAGGGGGGCTTCGTTCCTTATTAATCGCTTCGCTCATGCCGCCGGCCCTGGAGCCCTCTTTTGGGCCTCTTGGGGGCCTCTTGGGGACCTCTTGGGAGTCTCTTGGGGCTCCTTGGCGGCGTTTTGGAGGCCCCCAGGGCCTCTGGGGCACGGAGGCGCTTAAAGGGCCAAAAAGGGGCTCCGTTCCTCATTTCGCGCTCCTTCCCTCTCCCAGCGGCGCGGCGGTGAGACTCCTCCCTGCCGCGCCCCCGGGCGTGTCGGCAGGGCGGGCTGCGCGTGGCGCCGGGCGTGCCCTCGCCACGCGGGGCCTCGGAGCCTGCAGCGTGCGGGCACCCGCACGGACGGAGGGCGGGTCGTTTTCCACGCGTGCCGTGTGTTCTCTCGCGGTGGCGCCGCGCGCCGTCGCCTCGCCAGGCTGCAGCAGCTCCTGGCACGAGGGAGAGGAACACACAGACACGACTCGTCGTCGACTCCGCCGAAAAAGTGCAGGAACACGTGTGGGAAGTGGGGGGGGCGACGAGAGAACCCAGACAACATGGGAAAATAGGGGGAATCCTTTTATCTGTGTGTAATTCCTCCTCCTCCTCCTCCTCCTCCTCGTCCTCCTCCTCCTCCTCCTCCTCCTCCTTCTCCTCCTCCTCCTCCTCCTCCTCCTTATTCGTGTGTCCCAGGGCCCTTTCATGTTGTCCCTCGAGGCTGAGGGGCGGGCGGCTCTCTAGTCCGCGGCTCTCGCCTCGCAGCGCCGCGCACACTCGTCGGGCGATGGGCAGGGCCTCTTCGGCTTGTGTTCGTGGGCCTGTCTGCCACTGCCACTGCCATGCGTTAGAGGGGAAGGGAAGGAGGAGGAGGAGGGAGGAGGGAGGGGGAAGGGAAGGAAAGAAGGAGGAGGGAGGAGGGAGGAGGGAGGGGGAGGGGGGCCCCCGGCCCCTCCCCCCTCCTACTTACGGTAGTGGCGGTGGGAAACAAGCCCATCACATGTGGCTCTCGCCACAGCGCCGTGCACATGCATCGGACGAGCTTGGGCAGCTTCAGGGATGGAGGGCGGGGCCTCTTCAGCATCTGGCTCTCGCTGGAGTGCCGCACCCCGCTCGTCTTCCTCGCTTGCAGCAGGTTCAGGCATGGAGGGCGGCTCCTCTTCAATCTGTGGCTCTCGCTTCAGCACCAGTGTGATGTGGCACGGTTTAGGGTTGCCAGGACGCAACCGTATCGTTGGTTCGCGGTGTTGAGGTCCCAGAAGCATGCGGCCTGGCACGATTTAGGATTACCAGGGCGCAACCGCCACGTCGATTCGCGGCGCTGAAGTCCCAGGACTTGTGTTTTCGTACGGGTGAGGATTCTTACACGATTGTCTTCCAACGGGCAGTTCGCGCAATGATGGGGAAGTGCTGCATGGATTCGTGAAGACGGAGCTTAGAGGGAGTGTGTATTGCAACATCGTTGATGCATCTTGGGTTTTCATTGGTCTTCCGTTTCCCCTTGCTCCTTCTCCCTTCCCTTGCCCCTCTTCCACCTCCCTCAGACCTCCTCACCCTCATTTTCCGCGCCCCGTCCCCTCCTCCTCCACCTCCTCCTCCTCCTCCTCCTCCTCCTCCTCCTCCTCCCCTCCTCACCACGCACTCCCCTCTCCCTTCCTCCTCCCCATCAACTCTCCCTCGCCATCGCCCGCCCCCGCCTCTCCGTTTTTTTTGTTTGGTTTGTCTGTTCGCTTGTGTGTCTGCGTGTGTGCGTGTGAACCTGAACGGTTGCGGAGCACCGTCAAGACCGGCTTCTTCCTGGACGTCCGCTTCTGCGAGGTTCTGGCGGGAAACTGCTTCAACAGTTTTAACGCCGGCCAGGCCTTCATCCAGAGGTGACTGCACGAGGGACCATCGGTTCTGTCCGCTTCGTCCCCTCTGCTTTCCTCCTCCTTCTCCCAAAATTACGCTAAAAAAAACAAAAAAAAAAACACCAAGCAACGCACCACTTTCATCTCAGAACTCCCCGATCGCCGAGACGGCCCAGAAGCCAAATAGTTTGCTGCCTCAGAGGCCAGACTGCCACGATGTGGGAGAGGACTTGCACCCTACTGTGCCGATGTCATGGTTCATTGAACACGCTTGCTCATGCTACTCAGCTCCTCCCACCTGTAAAATAAAAAGCCCCGAAAGCGATGGCGATACTTGATTCTGGAGCAGTCTGCAATCCACCAATAACACAGCAAAGTGAACACTGATGATCTACTTGCCGTCTGCGCCCTGAATTTGTACGAAACGGTCCGAGAAGCCACCGGCAGCACAACGAAGTGAGCATTGATGAACAACTCGAAGGCTGTAACTGGCCACAGTCGCGCACATTTACTAGAAAGAAGAGCGGCACTAAGACACTTCCCAGGAACAAATAGCGTATTTCCCCGCCTTTCACGCTCGTGGTGATCCACGCATTGAAGCGAATGCAGGTCGGCGCATCCTTCGCCTCTCCCTAGCCCAGTTTTTCCCCGAGCGTTTCATCTTCCACGGGGGGAAGTAGCTGTCGAGCCCCGTCCAGAGAAGCCAGGCGCCGAGAATCAGAGGCCAGACCAACCCGACGGCACTATCGGGACAATCAGGCGCCGGAACACCCCTCGGTGCATACGGACCCGCAGCAAGGATGAGAAAGGCAAGCTGCGTGAGCTGAGCTCTCCTCCTCGCCCATCACTCTGCAAGCAGCGGCACCACCCGCTGCTTCTGCCTCCTCTTCTCGCACGCGCTGAGCCAGACGTTGTAGCCCAGACACTCGCACGGACACTGTAGGTGATATCTTGCCAAAGGTGGCCCGCCGCTGGCCAAGTCGCCACTCAAAAAAGCCAACCCACTGCTGGCGCAAATGCGGGTCTCTTGGAAAGCTGTCTCCACCGAAAGATTCGGGCAAGTCCAGAGCATTAACATGCATCGATCGAGCTTGCCCCGCTTAGCCAACGGGATCGGCTTCGCACCCGTGGCGCGGTTGACCCGGTACCCCTCAAACGCCGCGTGGAGGCGCGGGGCGGAGCACCATGGCGCATTTGAACCCAAAGGAACCTAGCTTCTTGGGCCGCATGTGCTTGAGTGTGGCGGGGGTGGGATGGGAGGAGAACGAGACCGATCACAACCACTTCGGACCGCTCAGGAACTACTTCGGTCAGATTTCAACCACTGGAAACGGACTGATCGCAACCTGAAGGATTCCTATACACATATTTGTGGAGAACACTGGATTGCAACCGATCCAGGAGATTTGTTTTTGCAGAGCTTCTGCAGAGTTTCTGCTGAGCTTCTGCAGAGCTCTTACAGAGCTTCTGCAGGGCTTCGGCAGAGCTTCTGCAGAGCTTCTGCAGAGCTTCTGCAGAACTTATGCCGAGCTTGTGCAGAGCTGCTGCTGAGCTTCTGCACCGCGTCTGCAGAGCTTCTGTAAGAGCTTCTGCAGAGCGTCTGCAGAGCTGAAGAGCTTCTGCAGAGCTTCTGAAGAGCTTCTGCAGAGCCGCTGAGAAACTCTCAGCGAGGCCTTTCAGAGGCTTCTCTGAGACTTTTCAGAGGCTTCTCTGAGGCCTCAAAGAAGCTTCACTGAGAGGCCTCTCTGCCTTCCCAGGAATCTGGCAATTGGTAGCATCCTTAGGAGTTCCGAGGATTGTCAAGGAAGCCCTCGTAAGTAGGAATCTGGAAATTGGTAGGATCCCTTGGAATTCTTGGGGTTCCCGAAGAGGCCCTCCTAGGAATCTGAGCAAGTGGTGGGATCCCATCGCATTCCTAGGATTGCCTAGGTGGCCCTCTCAGGAATCTGGCAATCGGTGGGGTCCTTAGGAATTCTGGTGGTTCCTGAACAATTGGTAGAATCCCTGGGAATTTCTAGGATTGCTTAGGCGGCTCTCCCAGGCGTCTGTCACTTGGTAGGATCCTTCGGATTCCTAGGATTTCCTCAGAGGCCTTCTCAGGAGTCTAGGAAGTTGTGGGATATCTGGAACTTCCTAAGGAGGCCCTCCCAGGAACCGGGGAAGCTGTAGGGTCCGTAGGGATGTTCGACACTTCCTGAGGGGACCCTTCTTATGAATCTGGCGATAGGTGGGATTCCTGGGAATTCCTAGGATTCCCTAGGGGGGTCCCTCTCAGGAATTTGGGAAGTGGTAGGATCCGTCGGAATTCTTAAGATTCCCGACGAGACCGTCTTCGGATTCTGGCGAAGTCCTCACACGAATCACATCGGATTCGTATACAAATCGCTCCAGAATCGTAGACCAGTCACATAGGAGTCGAAGACGAATCGCGCAGGCATCGTTACGAATCACACAGGAAGCGATTCGGATCATGGCCACGTTCGAGGTCAAGTACATGTGCGTAGCTGAGATCATGATCGGCCGTCGGTGATCGGACCGGTCGCAGCCGCTTCTTCAGATTCCCACTGGGCGGCTTCAGGGAGTGCAGTGCACCCAGGAGCGCTCTCATGATCTCTCCCTGAATCAAAACCTTATTGAAACGACCCAAAACCACCGCAACCTCTTCGGGCCGATCGCAACTGGTTGTGATGGGACCGAAGTGGTCGACGATTGGTCCGAGGTGGTTGCGAGCGGTCTCCGTCGCCACACGGGGAGGGGTGTGTGTGTGTGGTTCACGCGCGGCCCGGGAGGAGAGGTGGGGGTGGGATGTGTCGGGGGGGGGTGGGTCAGGAGGAGGAGGAGGAGAAGGAATGGGAGGAGGGGGAGGTGGAGGAGGAGGACGAGGAGGAGGAGGAGGAGGAGAGAGGAGGAGGAGGAGGAGGAGGAGGAGGAGGAGAGGAGGGGGGGAGGAAGGAGGGGGAGGAGAGGGAGGAGGAGGAGGAGAAGGAGGAGGAGGAGGAGGAGAAGGAGGAGGGGGAGGAGGGGGAAGAGGAGGAGGAGGCGGTGGAGGAGGGGAGGAGGAAGAGGAATACGAGGGATGATGGGGGACAGTGATGGGAAGAAAGATGAGGGGGAGAAGGAGGGGGAGAGTGGAGCGAACACGAGGTAGAGGCGGAGGAGGAGGGGGGGCGAGTTGGCGGAGGAAGAGGACCAGTGTAAACCCAAGAAGCACCAACGATATGGCAGAGAGCCTCCCTCCCAGTTTCCTCTTCACAGGTCTTTGCAGTACGTCTTCCTTTCCACTGCGGGAAGCGCCCCATCGGAAAACAATTGTCTGAGAGTCCCTGGCCGTGCCACAACACAATCCGTGGGAATTCAGCGAAGCGAATCATCGTGACGGTTGCGTCTCGACGGTTCTAAGTCGGACCGGAGCATTATTCCTGAGACTTTAACGCTGCGAATCAATTTGAAAATTGTGTCCTAACAACTCGATTGTTTGCCATATTGTCGTTCTTGGGAGGTCAACCTTACAAATCCTCGAAGTTGTTGCACGCATTTGAAACGAGTGTGCGCGGCGCTAAAGCGAGACCGCATTTGGGAAACCAGCCGCCCTACATCTTTGAACTTGCTTCGAAGTTTTAAGACGACTGCGCGCGGCGCTAAGGCGAGAGCCACTTTCTGAAAACCATTCGCCCTTGTATGTTTGACATTGCTGCAGGTTTTTGAGACGATTGCGCGCGTCGTGAAGGCCTGAGCCGCGGCTTGAACACCAGCCGCCCTCATCCCTTGCAGCGGTTAGAGCTTTCTAGTTCCAGGGTCACGTATCATGAGGAATTCTGAGGCGAAGCGCCCGGCCCACCCTACCGACCGCCTGGGTGAGGGAGGGGTGGGAGTTGTGTACAAGGAGAAGGCGTTGAGCAGGAGGGGGAGGAAGAGAATGGGGGAAGATGAGTATCACGACGACGACGGCAGCCGCCAAGGCCGTACTGCCAATTGCACGTTCTGAACTCAGCAGTGGTACGGCTGCTCGAGATCAGGAACTACATTCTGCGGCTGGAGCGGGAAGAGGCCCGCGGGACGAGGAATCGAACGATGAGGTGGAGGGGGACGTGGCGCAGGAAGTGCAGGAACGTGAGGATGATCATGATTATGAAGATGGTTGGAGGAGGAAGAGGAGGACGAAGCAGGAGGATGCAAGAGGAGAAAGGGGGAGGATGATGGGAGGATGATGTTGCGGAGGAGGAGGAGGAGGAGGAGGAGGTGCACGAGTTGGAACCATGATACGGAATGGGGAAACCGGATGAGGCACAACTAGGAGTTCGGAGAAAGCAGGAGGCGATTCGATGTTGTTGCTGATGATGATGCCGATGATGATGATGATGATGATGATGATGATGATGATGATGATGATGATGATGATGATGATGATGATGATGAGGATGAGGATGAGGATGAATGATGATGAGGATTGAGGATGATGATGATGATGATGATGATGATGATGATGATGATGATGATGATGATGATGATGATGATGATGATGATGATGATGATGATGATGATGATGATGATGATGATGATGATGATGATGATGATGATGATGATGATGATGATGATGCGGATGATGAGGATGATGACGATGCTGAGGATGATGTTTATGATTATGCTGCTGGTGATGATGAGGGTGATGACGACGACAAAGGAGATGGCGATGATGGCGATGACGATGATGATAAAGGTGATGACGATATGGACGAGGATGATCAGGTGACGAGGGCGTCAGACCTCCCGCTTGGCGTCTCGGTCGTCTGAATTCCCTCCCGGGCGCTCGGCAAGTCCGCCCCGGCGACGGCAGCCGCGCCGCCCTGGCCGCAGCCCGCGCCCCGGCAGCTCGGCCTGGCGCCCAGGCCATGACCCGTGCCCTCCGCGGTGCCTGCCCCACACGGGCTCGCATGCCCCGCGTGGGCGAGCAATCCCTCTCAGCCCCCCGCTGGCCGACCGCGCCCTTTCCCGGCTACGCCGCGCGCGTGACCGTCTGGGGCTGCGCGCATTGCAGCGCCGTGGCGGTGCGCCTGTGCGCGCGCCGCATCGCCACGACCCTCTCGTTTGGTGGCAGCGGCGCATGCAGCGCGCGCATTCATCGCCAGCGCGGGCGGCCCCATGTGGCCCCCGCTCTCGAATGCCAGCGGCACGAGCTCGGTGTGTGTGTGTGTGTGTGTGTGTGTGTGTGTGTGTGTCAGGTTTGTTTGCGCGCTCTAACGCGAGGTCGAGCCCGCCGTCCCGCGAGGCCGCGGACCGGGCGACCGACCCCCTGCTTCTGCGGGGGGCCGACCGTGACGTCCGCATGCTTGGTGCGGCCCCTGGCAGCGCGAAGCTCAGGTCGAGCCGCGCCTCGCGCCCGTTGGGCGCAGCCCACTCGGAAGCCACCTGCTCCAGCTGCGGCGGGGCCCCCAGCGCGCTTCGAGCACGCGGGCCCAGGCGTGCTTGCCGCGCCCGTGCTGGCTCGCGCGGCCTGGGCCTGGGTGGGGGCAGCGGACCGCTCGCGTGGCCGCTGGGTCGTCCCGCGCCTGCGCCGCGGGAGCGCCAGCGCGAGCGCAGGCCGCGCGGGCTGGCGGCAGGCGCAGGGGCAGCGCCAGATAGAGGTGGACCGCCGCGGCGAACTCATCGTGGGGCATCCACTCCTCGCCCTCCTCCGCAGGGAGTGGCCGGGCGCCGGCCCCCGGCTTGCTTCCCGCCCGCTTCCCGCGCGCAGCAGGGCCCGCAGGGCGAGCGGGAGCTCGTCCAACGGCGCGTCCCGCGCAGCCTCCGCCAGCGCCTGCCCCCAGAGCCACTGCAGGCGCCGTCGCTGCTGGGTTAGCCCCAGCCGTGCCTCGTCGCGCGTCTCCAGCCCCTCGCGGGGCGAGCGTCGCCGCCAGCTTCCCCAGCCGCGCCTACAGCAGGGGCGCCCCGGTGGTCAGGTCCTCGAGGGAGGTCGCACCGGGGACCCAGGCTGCCGTGGGCCGGGCGGCGACCGTGCTGGCCAGCCGGGCAGCCAGCGCCGTCCGCGGTAATCGAGCAGTGGCGAAGCGTCCTGGCTTTAAGAACCTCTTGTGGTCTGCACGACATGTTATTAGAACATTTCTGGCGGAGACGGTCTTGTTTTAACGGATCGGATTTCTATTCTAAGAACGTTATTTTGTAATGAGAGCACTTTTGGGTTGTAGGAACATGTCGTGGTAGGCCTGTGGGGATGTCAGGATGGTCGGTCCATGCTCAAGTTAAGCCACTCTCACGCATCGCCAAGCGTCACCAGCGAAGGCGGGTGGGGTCCAGCGGGCCAGAGCGGCGGACTATATGGCGGCGGCTGGCCACGTTGTCGTCCAAGCGCGCCAGCGTGTCGGCGTCGGCGGGCAGCGTGCGCAGGTGGAGCCAGCGCGAGCGCTCGCAGTGGGCACATGCCCTGGTGTTGCCGAGCCCGGCCTCCACCGGCAGCTGAAGGCGCGGTGCACGCCTGCTGCCGGCGCCGAAGGGAGGGCCTCTGCTGTGGCCTCTGGGGTGCGGAACGCGGCCGGCTGCCGATCCCGCGCCACCAGCCTGTGCCCGCGCGTCACCGGCGAGGCGGAGGCGGGGTCCGCGGCTCCTTCAGGCCGCCAGTAGGCGGCTTTCGCGGCGCTCAACCGCAGGCCGGCCTGGGCGAAGACAGGTCCAGTCGTGGCGAGGACGTGCGGCATCGCACGCGTGGGCGTGAATACGTCGACGTCGTCCATGTACGCGGTCACCTCCCGCCAGGCGCCGACCTGCTGCAGGCTCCCGTCCACCATGCGGATTGCCGGGTCGACGCTGAGCGCGACAAGCACCGGCGAGAGCGGGCCACCTTGCATCGCCCCCTGCGCACCTGCGCGTGGGCGTGCGCTCCGTCGCCCGCCACCAGCAGGTGCGCGGTGCCAGCGGCGAGCCGCTGCCGCACGACCGTTGTTTGGGTGGGCGCGGCCCGGCCGACCTCCTGGGCCAGGAAGCCGCGGCCCAGCTCGTTGAAGGCGTTGGACATGTCCAGGCTGAGCAGGCCACAGTCCAGATGTGCCTGCAGGGTTGTGGCTGCGACGTGCACCACTGTCTCCGCGCCGCCTGGGGCCCCCGCCCGGGCCGTCGGCCCCAGCAGCCGCGCCAAAACCTCCACCTCTCTCCTTCCCCTTTTTCCACCTCTCTCCCTTCCCTCCCCTCCCCTCCCCCCTCCAATTTCCTCCATCCCCTCCTTTCCCACCTCCCTCCCTTCCCCCCTTCCCTCCACCTCTCTCCCCTCCCTCCCCTCCCCTCCTCCTCTAATCCCCTCTCCCCCCTCTCCACCTCATATGAGTACTGCTCTCCTCATCCACTGACTCTGCTCGGAAGACGGCGGGCCCTCTCCGCGTTTTTTCTTTTGCACAGGACTTGAGCCCTTGGCGCTCCGGAAGGTTCTGTTGCAATCCCATTGTCTTCGGTGTCTCAAACGGCGCTCCCGCTTCAGCGTGAGTCCTTCTAGGATCGGCGCTCTGCTCCTGTCGTTCAGAATGGCGCTTTCGCCCCCGCGCGGGACACTTGTCTTCATTGTTGTCATTGTTGTCGCCTCTCTCGGTTCCCCTCCTCCGCCTTCCCCTGGTCTTCCTGTTCCTCCCGCTCCTTCCATCCACTCCAGTTCCTTCTGCTGCCGCTCGTCCTCGTCCTTCTCCTCCCGAACATCCTCCTGCTCACCCGCCTCCTCCTCCTCTTCCTCCTCCTCCTCTTCCTGTGTACGCAGCTCCCCTTTCCCTGATTGAGCTGCAGAACGGCTCAATGACACGCGTTCGCGGAGACATCTGTAGCTATATATCTATATATATATATATATATATATATATGTATATATAGATACACATATATATATGTATACATATACAGTTTTATGTATAGGGAGAGAGATATCTATATATATAGAACGAGAGAAACAAACAACGGATCAGCGCAACGGGAAGGGACGGGAGGAAGGCACAAGATGCCGCACGAGGCGCGAGAGCGCCATCGGCTTGCCTCCCTCCCCCCACCCCCCTCCTCCCGAGGTCCGCTGGCGCCTCGCCCAGCTCGAGGAGGCCAGCAGCGCCTTCCCCTCGCGCCCCCCCGCTGACCGCGGCGGCCTCGCGCAGCCGCTGCGCACCCTGCGCGACCAGCTGGTCCGCTGCGTCGACCGCGGCGCGCAGTGAGTGCCGCGCTGTGCGCCCCGCCGCCGGGGCGCCCCGCCGCCGCCGCGCGCGAGGGGGCCGCGCCCCGCGCGGCCCGCGGCGGCAGCGCCCCGCCGGCAGGGCGGCGGGCGGCGGCGCTCTCGCCGTCTGGGGTCAGCGGGGGCCTCGAGGCGAAGGATTGCAAAAAAACCCAGGATTGCAAAAAAAAAACAGGATTGCAAAAAAAACCCAGGTTTTTTTTTGCAATCCCAGGTTTTTTTGCAATCCTTCAGGGTTTATTTTTTTGCAATCCGGGTTTCTTTGCAATCCTTGGTTTTTTTGCAATCCTTCGGCCGGGGACCCTGTGATCGTTTCCTGATGCTTTGTGTCGCCGGTGGGCGCGGGCCCTCGCCCCCCCCTCCCCCCCCCCTCCTGGAGCAGATCGTGGCTGCTTTTGGAGCCTGTTCCGAGCAGGTGGGGGGCCTCCCCCACAGGACGCACTGTTTCGAACAGTCGCACTAAGCAGAGGTCCGGAGCCATACCCCCCTCTCCCCTCCCCCCCTTCCGCCCAATGTCGAAACGCCGAATAAGAAAACGCTCACCCTCGGGTAATGAAAAAATCATGACGGGAGGTGTTTCTTAATTTTCGGCCTTTGGAGGCACGCACTGGCCCTCGGGACCGTCAAAAAACGGCTCAGGATGAAAAAGCTGGTCCAGGGGAATGGGTCGAGACCTCTAAGGGTCGACGTCATGAAAAAATCATGACGTCGGGGATCTGGGGACGGGGGGCAGTGAGCGTCGGGAGCCTCGAGACGGGGATTCTCGTCGTCGTCCAGGGTCTGTGGAGCCTCGAGCTGGGGTCCGTGGAGCCTCGAGACCGGGGTCAGGGAGCGCCGGCTCGGGCTCCCCAAGCGAAACTTGGAGCGGGCGGTGGTTGGCCGTTTTTTCTGCCTCTGGAGGCCCTCGCCGGGCCTCGGGGGCGTCAAGAAGGGACCCTCGGGCGACGAACCGGCCCCATGGGAAGTGTTCCAGACCTCTGGGGCCCATGCGTCAGAATTGGAGCAGCCGGATGTCTGGGTACAGAGCCAGGGTTGCATGTTGCCGGGACAGCGAGCCTGACTGACCTGGGCTTGCATTGACCCGGGTCAGAAGCTCGAAGGGGGTTTTTTGCGTCCTCCAAAGGTGAAAGGTGATTGCAAAAGGTGCCGTCACGCTGGGGAGTGGTTTGCGATCGGCGCCGCCAGGTCTTGGGGAGCACCACGCTGCCCTCCTGATGGCCACTGGGCGCGGCGGAGAGAATCTAGGCCTCCTAAATGAGGTCGGAGTAGATGGGGTCGGAGGATCGCGTCGCATTGCCGATGTATCGCCGATGCGGCTCGATGTGGAGCTCGATTTTCTTCACGTCGACGTCGCCGATGCATCCCCGAGGTCGCCAGTGCGTATCGGCGATGCATCGCCGATGCATCGGCGATGCGGCGAGACCCTCCGACCCCATTTGTTCGGACCCCATCGAGGATGCCCCTCTAAAGAACTCGAACGAGGTCCCCGCTCGCCGCTCGCCCTCCCCCCCCCTGAGGCGCGAAGGCAGACCGCACCCTTCGGAGTCGCCGGGAGAGGGGCCACCTCCTCCTCCTCCACCTCCTCCTCCTTTTTTTCCTCCTCCTCATGCTCCTCTGGCTCCTCATGTTCCTCATGCCCCTCCTCCTCCTCCTCCTCCTTCTCCTCCTGTTCCTCCTTCTCCTCCTCCTCCTATTCCTCCTATTTTTATTCCTCCTCGTCATGCTCGTCCTCCTCCTCCTTTTCCTCCTCCTCCTCCTCCTCCTCCTCCTCATGCTGCCTCCTCCTCCTCCTCCTCCTCCTCCTCCTCCTCCTCCTCCTCCTCCTCCTCCTCGTCAGGCTCCTCCTCGTCCTCCTCCCGTAGCCATTTTGGCTCAAGGGGCCTTCTCCTGAACTTCCAACCTCGCTCAAGCGATTGAGGCGTGTCTGTTTGTTCGGATTGATCGCGCCAGGGACTGCGGCCAGGGGTTCGCGACCCCATGACTAAATCCCAGTACGTGCAATGTCGGCAGTGCAGCTACCAGTGGGATTGGCGTGCGCGGGCAGCTTGCTAAAAGAGGAGGAGGTTTTCAACCGAGTCCGAAGGAGGTGCAACCACCCCAAGGACAGTGGTCGTCGCCATCACCACCGCAGCCGCCTCCACAGCCTTTCTTCCCGCTCCCCTCGTCGCAGCCTGTTCGGCCTCTGTTTCCGCAGTCGCTCAACATGTTCGGTCACAGCGTTACCTCCCCCTTCGCCCTGCCGCCGAGGCCCACAGTACCGCCGCCCCCGTTGCCAGCGGATGCGATGGGCTACGACCGGTGAGGTGAATGGATGACGAAGGAAAAGGTAACCGCCAGAAGAAGAAGGGCGGCGTCATCGACCTGGACGCGGACGACGTGGTGCTGGAGGACGCCATCGCTATCATCACGAGGAGGCTGGACCCCGAGGCCATGAAGGAGCTCAAGAGGAAGGTCGTGATGCCACCCAAGCCTGTCCACACCCCTCTACCTGAAGTCAGTCTCAAGCAAGCTGCTGAAGCCGCTCGTGCCGCCGTCAAGAAGCACGAGGGGGCCGTCGTCTGGGTGGAGCAGGCGAAGCAGCAGTGGCAGCAGGTTGAGCACTACCTGAAGGAGCAGGCCAACTCGCTGGCGGAGGCCGAGGCGGAGGAGGAAAGGGTGCGCGCCAGCCTGGCGCCCGCGCCCAAGCTGACCGCCCCCTCGGCCGCAGCTGACATCGACCTGCTTGCGCTCTTGAAAGGGGGAGACATTTTTATCAGCGAAGGAGATTTGATCGATCTGGACGCTCAGGATGATGACTACGAAGGCGCAGCGAGCTTCTAGAGCAAGGGAAGCAGAAGAACAGCTGGGCGCCTTCATCAAGCAGCTGGCCAACGACCACTTCAAGCCTATGGCCGAGCAGGTCAAGGCTCAGGTGGACGCTATCTGTGATCAACGCCAGCGTCTGATCTCCCACAAGCGCAAGAAGGGCAGCGACGGTGCCCCTTCGCAGGCTCTCCTGCTGAGCCCGCGGCAACGTCATCTTCGCCGCAGACACAGAAGACTGCCGAGGCCACCATGTCTTCGCAGTCACAGGAGATCAAGGATAATATCCGCGCGCGCACCGCAGAGCTGATCTCGCAGCGGGCAAGGGCACGAGCAAGGGTGACGCTGCCAACGGCAGCGGCGTGGGCGCTTGACGCGCCCCAGCCCACCTCCCTGGGCTATTCGCAGAGGGAGGCGCAGGAGCTCGCTGCGGCAACAAGGAGCTCGTGGGCGCTGAGGCTCCCGCACCCACACCTAGGAGTACGGCCACATCAGCGACTTCTCTGCCATCCTCCAGGCTGTGGTTGACGAAGGCTGAGACTCCCGCTCCAACGACCCCTGGCTACGCTCACGCCAGAGGAGCTTCTCCTACCACGGCGCAGAGCGGGCCAGGGGGCCATTGGGCGGGCGAATCGGCTGGAGACCCTCAGCCGCTCGCACCTTGTCCTGGAGTTCTACCTCGTCCTCCCTCTGGCAGGGCAGGATCTGAGAAGTCGCTCAAAATCTACATGCGCAATATCACCAAGTGGGGCCCCAAGGTGGTGGAACACCTGAGGCAATCTTGGCAGCAATATGGCGTTGTTGGCCTGTGCGGACACCATGGAAGGCCTGAAGGTATGGACGGCCTGGGTAGCGACATTGTGAAGGCAGGATGACGCCCTGTTCTTTCGCCCGCTATGCCCGTGGAGACAAATTCCTAAGGCTGGAGGAACTTTGCTTGCAGTCAAGCGCGGGCTGAACGCTCGCTCATTTGGTCATCTTGCATCTCACATCTCACAGTGTTACGACACACGCGATGGAGGCAAGAAGGAGCTCGGACATGGTCCAGTCGATTTCCATGAGTTTTCCGCTATGAGTATCCGCGCACATTGGCAGCAGATCGTAGTTGTGCAAGTTTACCTCGGCCATGGCACCGGAGTACGAGGCAGAAGCCGACGCAAGCTTCGCACGATCGGCGGCTTCCCATCAGCACAGGCCGGCCCATGGATAGTTTTCGGCGATTGGAAGGTTGCGCCTACGGACCTCAACGCCTGGATGGAGAAGCTGGGGGCAGTTCAAGTTCTACCCGAGAGCGTTGTCGTGACAAGCTTTGCTGGCGAGGGCAGGCTCTGCGATTTCGCCGTGGCTCCAGGGGCGTCCGCCCGTTCGCGAGGAGCACGCTGTCGGTCACGGACGGCGAGTGGAAAGCGCGCGGCCCTGCAGATCACGCTGGGCCTGAAACCTTCGGACTCGGAGCGCCGCGCTTGCGTGGTGCCCGAGCCTTTTCCGCGCCCATCTCTGCCTAAGCGTGCGCCCGACCCCGATGGCATGTCTCGCCTCCGAAAGCGCGGCCAGAAATCCTTCCCAGCCCGCCAGAACCAGTGTTTCGAAGCCGCCGCCGCGACGTGCTGAGGGAGCCCCAGGGTTTGGAGATTCTGAGGCCCCTTTCGGCCCTCCGCCAGCGGTAGGCGCCACTCCCGATGAAGATTTTGATTTCCCTGGGGTCGGCCAGGCCCCAGATGCCCCAATTCGCCAGGTGCCAGACGGCCCTGCTCCTTCCTCTTGGAAGACGTCTGGGCACGGACCCTCCCAGCGAGTGCAGCGAGAGATCGAGCGAGGGGCCCATTCTGAGATCCGTGGCTGTTTTGGGTCTCTTGCTGGCCCTGTGGCTTCCGAACAGCTTGCCGCGTGGTTCGGCGCGTGGGCTTCTCGCGTGGAATTGTTGGACTGTGAAGCTCACGCCATTCCGCCTGGCGCCCAGCCCGTGTTAAAAGGCAGAGGCGTTGTGCAGCCAATCCAGGTCGAAGCTATATGCAGAAAGTCCGTCCCGTTGCAGTCTGTGCACAGTGATTGTATCTGGCGGGCTGCGTTGAGTTCTCATTTGTCTTTCCTTGGGCGAGCCAGAAAAAGTCAGGCTCGACCGGGACTTCAGAGCAGTTTCACGCTGAGGCTTTGCCCTTG